TTATCATAACAATTCGCAGATTGATTTTTCCTCTTTTCATGTGCGTATTGAATCATCAGGTTCCAGAGTTGGTTCAACCTATATATTCGTGCATAAACTTGGAGTATTGAAGTTATACACAGCTCGCCAGCGGCCATGGAACTACCCACATGGCTGCTGGCGAGCAGTGTATATCACTGATGATAATCAGATTTGGTCATTGACTGTATATTTTAACTCTTTCTTTCTCCTGGAGATTTCAGAATCCTATCTCAATAATTACGTAAAAGGTACGGCGGCGCTTCCATGGAAAGTGGGACAAAATTTAATTTTTCAGAAATGAGAATTTTGGACATCCTGATTTCGAATCCGAAGTCATCTTCAACTTATCTTGCCTCCTAATAAAATTTTCCGGAAATGTGGGTGGTTTCACAGCTGTAAGTGAGCAGTGTGTATATCACTGAAGATGACACCACTTGGTCATAGAAGAGATGATATAAAGTGTATTTTTGGTATATATCTCGCTCCTGAATTTCAGACAACTAACTCAACAATTACGATAGATACAGGGGTTCTTTGAATATAAGTGAGACACAATGTATTTCCGTATTGGTATGTGATTTGACATCAAAATCATCGTATGTAATACAAGTGTATTGATGATTATCCAAATACAAATCCCTTCGATTTTGAGATACAAATTAGGCAACCGATCATACTAGAATTGTTCGTTACGAATAAAAATTCAGTGCCTATTACCAAATTGTCTGAAGTTTAGTGTTGAGTGCTATTTATCCCTGAATATGAAAATATTATGACATCCATGTCCATGACAGCCTGCTGCAATTAAGTCTTTTTTATGTCATATTGTTTTATATTTGAACAAACTACCAATGAGTGAGCGAAATACAAAATAGAAAACACAGCCATGTAGGTAGGAAATACAAAAACGAAGACATCAGGTTTTCGATTATCAATACAGATATTTCAACCAATTGAAAATGAGTATTTTGAAATGTATGAAATATTCAGGAGAACCGCATTCTCTCCATTATCGAAACTTGAATCACGTTATCATTGACTTGCTGGTGAAGATCAAGGTTTCACGCGTGAGTCCATGTTTCTCTGAATAGTTAACAGTAGAATGCACTTTAGAAAACACCTGAAAACACTATACCAGCTAACTTCCCTGATTATCAGAATACCCTCGAGATAAACCACCTTGTTAAGACCCGGTAATAAAGCTGTGCATGAATACGATTTATCACACGACAAAATGGTCAGAAATATTATGAAGTGCGGCTTTAGGTAAACTTATCAAAATACAGCTATATGCTATCTAAACAGCAGTGTGTAAACGAAGTGCAAAAAAATGAAGTAGGATGTAGAAAGAAGGAACATTTGAAAGTAATATTGAATTCTTCATTTTTTTGGTGATTGTCTTGTATCAGCCTAGCTTCAACCAAATCTTGGGGGCTCATTTTGGTTTCTGTGAATGATTAATTGTGAAGTCCATTCGCATTTTAATTCATGCAAATTTTTTCACCGTATACGTTAGAAAAAATCGCAAAAGCCGACTAACAGCTGAGTAACCTTGGCAATCAAGTCATGCAAACTCTCTTATGCATTCATTTGAACGATGATCCAAATGAACAACGTGAAAGAATTATCGTAATTTTGATGGTATCGGTCGATTTGAAATTCTTTCCTCATCACGATTGGCTGACAGAACTGTTTGAAAAACGAACAAATATATCAGTCATCATCAACACGATCATAGAATATCAGTACATGTCTAACCATATCGAATTCATGTTGATTCATCCAGTTATTGAATATAGCAGGTCACAATATCATTCAACCAATATGAAATATTCAAAAATTAAGCATATGTCGTAGAGCAATTTTTTTCGCACATATTTTGTGCCACAGGAAGCAAGTCGTAATTCCCACAAACAATCCGGAATTCCGAGTTACAAGTCAAAATTTCGGGTTATCAGTCGGACAAACTCCCCAGAAAGGTATTCCACATCTCAACTATGATTCTATCAATTAATATAATATAGTTTTGACTGCAGAAGATCTTAGTTCACTAGAGGTTATCCCAACAGCATAATATCCTGATGTATTATTTTTGATAACGTGCAGAGAAGTCCACTTTTCCGCAGTAATTTCAGTGTGGATAGAGGCACTTTTCCGCACTTGTAAATTTTTTGGAGAGTATACTGACATTTGAATATTTGATAATATTAAATTTTTCTCTCTGTTATCTTTTGGGTTTTTTCCGCACGCTAGTAGAAAAAATAGTGTACCTTACACGTGCGTAAAGTGGCCGAACGTCGCTGCAATCGCGTGCGGAAAAGCACCACTTTCTGGACTTGTTAGATGAATTACTATATATGGAGCGTCTACGAATTTCAGTGTGTTGTCTATAGATATCCTAGGGAATTTTTTGCATATTTTGTTCGTGATCATACTGTCATTCGTACCTAAAGGTGTGTCGTCGATACTACACTGGTATTAGATATACAGGGTGGGCCACCAGTAACGCCTCGGTCTCTAGAAGGCTAACCACTTATATTCTTGGAATTCTTCCTCTCTAGGAAGTTGCATGTCAACATAGGCTACCATTTAAAATTATTTCGTGGTGTCCCCAAAAACCATAAAACACTGAAGTTAAACTTTTTTCAATCGAACACTGGAATATTATTTCATTTTGAGATTTTCCCTGGTGAGCTGATTTCAACAATCCATCATACTTGGGGTCTAGCAGTTATAATTACTGAGGTATAGGGTGTGAAAAATCGAGATTTTCCAAGTTCAAGAATTTTTTGTGTCGAAACTATTCATAATTGGTCAAAACGACTTACATGTCCCTATCTCAACTTTTGATTAACTATCTACTGATATTTAATTGGGACATATACCGGGTGATCAAGATTCTGAATTTTTATTCCAAATTTTTTGGGATTTTCTCTCCTCGTTTCTATAAAATAAAAATATGAATATTATTTCAATATACAGGGTGTTTCAAAAAAACACAAGAATAACATCGAAACAGATTTGACTGAGAACATGGATTACACAGTTTTGTTGTATCTTGAGCAGACAGTCTAAGCTACATAGGTAAATTCACGTCAAGAGTTGTGAGACATAATTGAACATCACTTAAATGACCTAACACCTGATCCTCAACTGTTTAGAAGAATAATACATTCTTAAGAAAAGAATATAGAATCGTGTATTCGTCGAAACGTAGGACATTTTGAACACTTATACTCTAACTGATTCAATATTTCATGTTTCTTGTCAAATATCTCCTAATTTTCAACTTACGATTCTTTGTTCCATCAATAACTTCAGCACAAGAATGATCCTATTGTTTTTGAATCTGAATAAATAGGTAATTGAACTCAATAAAATTCATTTTATACCAGCATCAATACTACTCCAATATTTTCAAATCAAAATATTCCGAAAACGGAACATAGTATCGAGTTTCACCAAGAGTTCCTTTTTGGTGTAAAATTGAATGAGGTTTGAGTTCATATCATATTTGGATTGGGAAATCTAACCTCAAAAAAGTTATGTTCTAAACTACTCGGTACGAACCGTGTAACTAGCGCCCTCTATGAGAGTCAGATATAAAAACAAATTCATGCGATGTGTCAGATTTCAAGAAACATCCGTACAAAATTTCATCACAATGTTTCCAGTAGTTTCGACATAATCGTGAAAAATGTGTAAAAAAGTAATTTTTTCAACACCTTGTATCATGGAAACGGATGCCGTTAAGACATTTTTTCACTGAGCAAACCCAACTTATTTTGCAGTGATCTACCTACCCTAGCAAGGGGGTCAGGTTTTTTTGAAACACCCTGTATAGAACAAATCAGATGATTTGCCCCAAAATGTCACTGCGTTTAAAGAATTTTCCTATCAGAGAGCCTAAAAGAAAAATTCACTAGCTTGTCAGTGACAATTTGTATTTTTATTTTATAGAAACGAGGAGAGAAAATCCCAAAAAATTTGGAATAATGAATATACCACCTCCTCGATTAACCTACAGACAGTATTCTGAATTCTACTCCACCCTGTATTTGTTTCAATTAAATGTCAGTAGATAGTTGATCAAAAGTTGAGATAGGGACATGTGAGCCATTTTGACCAATTATGAATGGTTTAGACACAAAAAATTCTTGAACTTGGAAAATCTCGATTTCTCACACCCTATATCTCAGTAATTATAACTGCTAGAACCCAAGTATGATGGATTGTTGAAGTCAGCTCACCAGGGAGAATCTCAAAATGAAATAATATATAGGGTGTTCGATTGAAAAAAGTTCAACTTCAGTGTTTTGTGATTTTTGGGGACATCCTGTATGTTTCAAAATAATTTCAAATGGTAGCCTATGTTGACATGCAACTTCCTAGAGAGGAAGAATTCCAAGAAGATAAGTGGTTAGCCTTCTAGAGACCGAGGCGTTACTGGTGGCCCACCCTGTATAGGTATATATATTGATAAAATATTACAATCACACCACACTTTGATTTTCTGAATGTCTGAACGAATAGAATTATGAAGACCGCTCGCATTATTTGCACGCCATAGTATTGTAGTATGATCTGTGAATAGAGTGAATCTCCGTGTTACATCAATAAATGTCAGATCATTAATATATCAGAAAAAAAGAATTGGTCCCAATAGTGATCCTTGTGGTACTCCGGTATTGATTTAAGCAGCAGTAGACTGAGTTGTAGTTTCAACAATTTGGCTTCTACCCGTAATCAACAGTGTTCTATGATTCAAACAATTCGTGAGTGTTCTCGTAAATATCAGCTAGATATAAAATTGCTCCTTCCTTCGGCAATCCTAACTCTCCGTCTATCCGAAGAATCGCTCCATCATAGTCAACGACACCAGCACCAGCACCGGCTAGAGCATGACCTCGAGGACCCTGCAGACCTCGACAGGCTCGTCAAATCGTTAGGAAGGAAACCCGTCTTTACCGTTATCACAGGCGGATATACGGGCTCCTATCGAACGCACTGATACTGATAATGGGGACAATATCGAATGCAACGGCAGAGATGGAGGTGATGTTTGCTGATGTTTCGTGTTTCCGGAGGAAACGAGGATTTTTATCATCAGGTAAGGTAAGTACGGTGTCAGTGATAAAGAAATGAGGACGATGTTTAGGAAATGGAACGGGCTTGACGGAATTATTGATAAGGAAATGAAAAACGACTCGAATTTTCATTTACCTATTTATACTAAGCACGATAATTGTTCCGCTACCTCCATGAGACATGAGGTTACTTAGGGTATACGTTACAAAGGATAGCACTGATATATAATAGTAGAAAACTTAAAAGAACATTCAATCTTAAATATCAGATTAACTTTCTTCGACAATACGTATTGTCTCAGAACATGAAATTAAAAAATCACGTTGCATTGATAACTTTATGTCCTTTTGGCGCCCAAGAAGTCCTTGGCATTCCACTGTAAGCTGTAGCCACGCTGTAGCTTCCGCTCTCACTAACTTCAGAGAAATTTTGATGCCTGGGGAGTTGGTTTCTGTCTTCGAACAAGCGATACACAAATTTCACAAAGAATACATAGGTTGTCATGGTGAAAATTGACACTGACACAATAAGTTCATCAACTAATCGCACATCATCAGCTGAGGTATCACCTATGATCAAAGATATATCTGGTATGCTTGTTTACTACCAATAGTGATGCGCCCCTCCTCTTGAAAGGTATACGAGACTAAACAGATGTAATTTCCCGAAAGTTTCAGGAGTAGAAGATTCTAATATACTGATTACCAATGAACAAAAACAAAAACATGAACATTTTTAGTAACCTAAATATTACTTGTAGGTTGATCGAGGAGTTGGAATATTCAGTAATCTAAACTTCTGGAATTTCCTCTCCTCGTCTCTATGTCACTAGCCTTCAAATTTCACCATAAGAAACCAAAAAGCGTTTGCAAAGCGTTTGGAAAAGGAGAATATACAATCATGGAAATGATCCAAAGTGGTCCAATTGATTTCTAATAAAATGCAATAAAATATACAAAGTTCAGATCCAACTCCATGGTTAACAGGACCGATATATTTCTGAATTAGTTGACCTAAGCTTTGTGATTTGAAAAAAATTCAACATGTATTGCTGAGGTTGATATAACTTAGACTCTTTCTTGCTCCTTAACAAGAACAATTTTAAAAGAAGAACAACAATTAACATTGTCTGAAATCTCTTTCAGGTACTATACATTACTACATCCCAATTGTTATGTCTGATGACGGCCTGTGGCCGAAACTAGTAACACACTCCTTTTTTATTATATAAGTTTGTGGTTGACCGACTTTGTGTCTTTTATTGCTTTGTCTCAAGAAGAATATAGGAAGGAATATTGAAAAATTTTGAATGTTAAGGCGGATTTATGCACGTCGCTTTTTCATTAATCTGATGTAGTTTCACAATCATTAACGATTTGACTAAAGAATCAATCATTTATGCACCCAAATTAATGTTTATCTTTCATTAAATCTCTCATTAACCATTCGCTACAAGTAAAAGTGTGACATGACAATTTCTTTTTCTCATTTTTCCAAAATGTGGTTCAGAAATTCACAAAATTCTAGTTGTCTGCTCAAATGACACTTTGAGAATAATATGAATAGATTACTCTAACTTTAATAATATGAGCAGTGCACGTTATATAGAACACGAATATTTTTATCGGGCTAAGTACGCCGAGGACTATGTTTCGATCATGAAGAAGAGTTTGAAGTTTAAAAAAAGTACATAAAGGCATCAGTCCTTGGATAAAAATGAATTTAATGACAGTTAATGAAAGCAACAGACTAATGAAAAAGCGGTGTGCATAAATGCACCTTTAGGTACTTACCTTTGAACGTTTCCAGAACAAATTTACTCCCGTTTTCAACATGGAAATAATTCTTCGTATATCGCTTTCGCTTTTCTCTGGTGATACTTCTCAGTTACGGTAGTTGACAGATTTTACTCTAAACAGGCCATTTTGCACATATGACTGGATTGCACCAGGACTCAATATCAGTCTGGACATATTTGTTTTAGATGTTATGAACAAATTCGATGGAAACGACAGATCGACGGATGGTTTAATTACATCTCTAATAAAAGAGAACTGTTCTCTGGAAGGAGTAGGCAGATTGAGACCTTAGAGAGAACCAGTGACGAGATCTGAAGAGTAGGCAGATTGAGACCCCGGCGTCAAGTAACATACCTTCCGTGATATTAGCTGAGGAGTAGGCAGATTGAGACTTCAGTGGAAAAAAAATCACTCCCTATATTTTGTTATCACCTTTTTATTTCTATTCATTTCTATTATTCAGTTCTTGAAAATGGCTCCAAAGTCGGTGCCGAAACGTCGAACATCTACAGATTTTAGACGCGGTTCAACCCGAAATCCTACTTTTCAAACTTCTGACCGCGGAAACCTACCCGAACAAAATCGATATATACAGAGTGTTCCGTAAAGCCTACGTCAAACCTAGAGAGAATGTTGATCACCTGCTATTACAAAATTCTCATCATAAAAGTCTTACCGTTTTCGAGATATTTTTTTTGAAAATATTGAATTTTTGCCCCTTTCAATAGTTTTGTCTGTAGGGTTGGTACAATTTTACACCTTTCTGGTTCATTATACATCAAAAACATTCTCCGAACAATTTAAAGGTGGGCTGTGAGAAATATTTTTATTGAAAATTTTGATAGTGGATATTTTCAACAACAAAAAAATCTCGAATACGGTAAGACTTTTGTAATGGAAATTTTGTCATACACAGGTGGGTTATCTTTGATCTACATTCTCCCTAGGTTTGACGTGGTCTTCACGGGACACCCTGTATACAGTGTGACCCACTTCTAACGGATACACCCCTGTATCTTACGTAATCCTTGGGTAAATATCCTGAAATTTGCTGGAGCGAGAGATATACAAAAAATGCACTCTATGACCAAGTGGGGTCATCTTCAGTGATATACACTGCTCGCCGAGAGCCATGGAACCACCCCAATTTTTCGGAAAATGATATTAGGAGTCAAAATAGGTCGAAAATCACTTCAGATTCGGAATCAGGACGCCCAATTCACTAAGTATTCATATTTTTCTTGAAAAATTTCCAGTTCTGAAAAATTAAATTTTGTCGCACTTTTTACGAAAGCACCCCCGTATCTTACGTAATTGACTTTATCTCTGGACTGCCATATAGTACATCAAACAAGTTTGGACAAACAGTCTGAATTATAATTCTAGACGGCGATTACGCGATCATGACATACCTATACTGGCGAAATAAACGAAAACTGTGCGATATGCTTACTGTGCGTAAAGATTTGATTTGATTTGAAAGATTTATTTAGCTTTCGCTAGTTGTCTCATCATATTTTTTACAATTATAGAGATATTTACAAAGTATAAATTCTTGAAATAACTATCAACTATACTTATAAACTATACTAAATCTTGAAGTAATCTTTTCGTAACATATTCTTAAAAATTTTAATATTTGGTGCAACTGTGACGATAAGTGAAAGGTTGTTGAAATGATGCAATCCCTGGACAAAAAGAGATTTTTGTAGAACATTCGAATGACGTCTTGCTATATGTAAATTTTCTCTTGACCTGACGTTATATCTATGCATTTCCGATCTTTTCACAAGGAAAGATTGCAGATACATAGGAGCCTGTTTGTTCATGATTTTGTATATTAGTACTAAATTTGATTCTTCGATCATTTGTTCAACATTTAGAAATTTCAGCATCCTAAGCATATCTGTAATCTCTGTGTGTCTATCACATTGGAGTAATATTCTCATACACTTATTTTGCAGCTTTTGAATTCTCTGTATATCACTTTTTGTACAAGAGATAAGTAAAGACATACAATATTGAAAATGTGGATAAATAATGGTGTTATATACTACTCTTCTAGCCCAAAATGTTAGTTTTCTAGATATTCTTCCATAATATCCAATTTTTTTCCCTAATTTTTTCCAAATATTATTCACTTGAGGCCCAAAGTTCAAATATGAATCTACTTGTACCCCTAAGTACTTAATCTCCTGCACAAAGTCAATCACTTCTTGTTCTATATGAATAACGTGGTTTTCGTTTGAGAATGACTTACAGTTATTTTTTGAGCCCAGAACCATACATTTCGTTTTCTTTACATTAAGCTTCAACCTATTATATTTCAACCAGTTACTTAATTCTCTGAGTTCTGCATTTATTTGAATAACTACTTCCTCATGATTTTTCCACATATCGAAATCTGGGTATCGTCAGCAAACATATTGACAAAAGAATCTTGTAAAGCATTGCCTAAATCGTTGATATACAAAATGAACGATAGCGGACCCAATACACTGCCTTGAGGCACCCCATATTCAGTCCCAACTTTTTCCGAACAGTGATCTTGATATTTGGTTGTTTGAAATCGGTCTTCAAGATAATCTCTTAACTATTTCAACACGACACCCTTCATTCCATACTGTTCACATTTATTCAGCAACATTTTTCGATCAATAGTTTCAAACGCTCGTTTCAAGTCCACAAAAACACTGACCACAACGTTCCCTTCATCGATCTCTTTCCTCCATTTTGAACAAACATATTGACATGCTGCTTTGCAAGAGTGGTTTTCTCGGAATCCTGATTGTCCAACGTATAGAATTTCATTTTGCCTCAAGTAACAGCTCAGCTCCTCACAGACAACTATTTCTATCACCTTCTCCACAACCGGCAATAGATTTATAGGCCGGAGATCTTCAGGTTTTTTTGGACATCTAACTTTTGGTATAGGTACTATCAAGCTGCATTTCAGTTCTGTTGGCATATTGCCAGTTTGAAGAGAAGTATTCACCAGATATAGAAGTGGATACCCAATCACACAGAATAGATCTTTCATAAGTTCAATTGTTATTATATGATCTCCCGAAGATTTATTTTTCAGTCCAGAAATTACTTTCTTCAGCTTATTTAGAGATATCGTCGGAAAAACCTCGATAGTTGATTGAACTGGATAAATTTCTGATTCAAAATCTGTTTCA